AACAGATTTCCTTTGAGGTGTCAAAGTTTCTTGCAAAGATATCCAGATAATAGTTCATTATTAAGTTTTGTCTCTTTTACACAGGTAGACTATTCAAATTCCAGGTCATCATAGCTGAAAGTATCCTTGAATGTCCCATCCCGTGCCCTGCGGCGCCCCCGCTCCCCGGGTTTTTGAGATAGGGTTTCTCTGTGTAGCTTTGGAGCCTATCCTGGCACTCGCTGTGGAGACCAGGCTGACCTCGAACTCACAGAGACCCCCCTGCCTCTGCCTCTGCCTCCCGAGCGCTGGGATTAAAGGCGTGTGCCACCCAACGCCCATCATAATGTCCATATTTTAGAATAGATTTTACAAATGTAATAAAACACAAAGAAGCAAGAACAATTTCACAACATAATTTGCTATATTCTAATCTAGTTCTTAAAGTTTAGAGAAAACAGTATCTTTTTTAAAAAAATAATTTTACACATTTGATATTCTTGGGGAGGGTGCTCATTGACTTGTGTTGACTATGCTTGTAAGAATTGAGGTTTTGATATGTAACATTAACAAAAATTTCTCCATTATATCCTTTCTCAGTCCAGTTTAACAAAGATGTTTAGTATAACTTTTCTTTGTGTTTTAAAGTGTTTCTAATTTCTTTTCTTTTTTGGTTTTCCCCAGATGGGGGTTTCTCTGTATTACTTTGGAGCCTGCCTTGGAACTCGCTTTGTAGACCCGGTGGTCTCCAACTCACAGAGATCCACCTGCCTCTGCCTCCCATCGCCCCACTAAAGTGTTTCTAATTTCTTAAAGATTTAGTTGGAAAGAAATTAAATATAGCCCTGTTAGCTATTGGGGATTTTGTTAAGATATTGTCAGGTTTGTGTTGCATGTTTAGTTAGGCTTCATGAACTCACTCCCTTTCCATTGATATGCTGTAACCCTATGTGGAATGTGTTTATGTGAAAAACTCTAATGATACCACCTGAGGCTTGTAGAGATAACCCATAATGATTTATGTTCCTCATTTTGCCACAGCACTAGGATTGTTTTCTTGCCTTAAACTTTATTTGCATTGAGGAAAGACAGTTTCATATTTTAACATAAACCAAGAAGCTACATGATTAGCTATTAAAACTTTGCTTAATAAACACCCAAGTTTTAAGTGAAAGTACAACTTTAATTTAATTATACCATCTCTAGAGATTTAAAAATTGCCTTTGTTTTTTGAGCAAGTTTTCAACTGCCAGAAAATATATTGTAAATTTATACTGTGTGAGTTCAAATGTCTTGCAACTTTAAATGCTGGAGTAGTGTGTCTCAAACCTGCCGTTTGTAAAGTTAAACTGTTTTACTGGTGCTAGTTTGTAGATGAAGTAATAAAGTCCATGAATTCCTGAATAAAAGAGTAACAGATATTTATTTGGGAACACTCACACAATGATGGTAGATAGCTACTATGGTCTTCTGCCCTTGGAGGTGCAGGATGCTGTGATGTAGGATGATGATCAGATCGTTACCTCAAGTGAGAGTGAGCCAAACCCTTCCTGTTCCTTTTAAGGTATCAAGTCTGCACTCACAAGCCACACCCCAAGACTCTGAAACTGTTGGCAGAAATTAATTCCCACCATACTAGTCTTTCCTTCATTTTTCTCTTAACCACTCTCCTACTGTGTGTTAGAATTCTTGGACCTTTTATGATTGTACATCATTTTCACCTCACTCTAAAACAAATCCAACTTGGTCTATTCTGTACATCGTTACTGAGGTCAGCTACTGTGGGTTAGTTGAGAAAGGTAGTAGAGAAGGCATATTAAGCAAGGGTAATAAAAAATTTGAAAAGTTCTATAGAAAGTATTTGATCTATGCAAATTTTACATCTGTAAATTTGTAAATCTGTAAATACCACCTGTAAATACACAGGTGGTTTCATTGAATTCTTTAGATTGCTTCAAGGAAACCATTGGGTGTGATGAGTCACAGTCTGCCTCTTCAGTGGAGAATCTTACTATACTAAAATAAAGTGCTGTGTCTGCAGTTGTGGGTAGTAACAGCATAGGTTGTGTCTCTGTAGGTTACAGCCTTAGCTCAGCTGTCTATATCTCCTTTAGCAATTTCTGGAACACAGCCTATTCTCTCTGCAGGCATCTGTGGAACAGTTTGAAAATTGCAGATAGATTTTTGAACTTTGTCACTGATGAGCCACTGTAGTGATTAAATACTTGCTGAATTTCTGCACATTTTCTTCCCAAATTCTAAATCTTCAAACAAGCCTGTGTACAGATGAATGACTCAGACAGAGTATTGGCAGTAGTAGACTTTATTGTGGATTTGGTTTTGTTTAATATCAATATTGCTAACATTATTTAAATTTAAACCCCACAAAATATTCTATGTACATTTGTTTTAGGGTTGCTGGTGGCCTAAACTATGTTCTGTGGCATACATACATACATACATACATACATACATACATACATACATACATACATACATACATACAGCATAGATACCTACATACTATATTGTGCACACAACATGCATACACATTTAAATGTGTACATAAATAGAAAATGTTTTACACACCCTACAAATTACTTGTAAGCGTATTAGGGCAAGAAGCTGCTAATCCTTTTACATTATAACATGTAGTTAATATTTTGAAACAAAGTGCATGGACATATGGGATGATTAATATAGTAGTCATTGACATAAAAGAATGGTTGTTGTGTTTTGATATCATTAGCATTTTGTGCTAAGTATATTGCAGGTACCATGTTCTCACTATGTTTATCCAGTCCCCACATTTCTATGATGCTGACAGTATTGCATTTTAGGTTGATAAGAAAATTGATTCCTGGTGTGACACAGCAGTGATCATAGTACTTAATGGATCAATGGTTTATTAATCTCTTCAGAAATTCAATGGTACCTGGTCTATTAGGATATTATATTCTATACATGTCCACAAGGGGAAAGATGCTCACAAGGAGAAACGTTAGGGCATCCCAGAAGGAGAGAAGATGTGCATTTAGTAGTGATGTTCACTTTACAAGCTAACCTAAGTATACGGTGGCTTCAGTTTGTCTTTCACTCATTTTATACAGTCCTTCTGAATCTTACCATTTGTTTCCATTTAAAATTTTTTAGACTTGTCTTTTTAGTTTTTTCCCTTATCACTTCTCAGACTCCCATCTCATTTGAGATAAACCTCATGGCTTTTCATCTTTACCGTGATCATGACATCACTGCTCCAGCTCCTTTAAAGGAAGTGACCTTTTCCTTTTCCTCAAAGATATATTTTATTTCCCCCTACTGAGAAAGTGCTCTTACAATAAGTAGTACTTTATGTCTTTCAAAAATTATGTTGAATATTTTAAGATTGTTATCAAGTGAACAGTGTAATGAATGCTTTCCCAAATGTGTTTGAGAATCTGTACCTAATATATCACCATTCCATCCCAGCCCTTTTGTGGTAGCTGGAGTGTTGGCATTTTAATGGTTTGCACTAACCAACTCTGCTTGCCTCAGGTGAATACCCCTTTATCCTCAGCCCCCAACTGAAATGTAGCATTTTCAGCCTGTCTAAACCAGTGTTCCTTGGAGTAAACCATTTAGAGCATAGTTTCTAATTTAAAAAAATGCTGACTCTAGTATTATTTTCAGAACTAAATTTTATGATTTTGTTTGTTTGTTTGTTAGTCAAAATCTAAAGATAGAATTCAGTAGGATTGGTGTGCTTTAAATTCAGTGTGACATTAACTTACTCTGAAAAATCTTATTTTCTTAGGTATTAGATACATTTGTTATAGGCTGGGTGAGGTGACCCACACCTTTAATCCCAGAACTCAAGAGGCAGAGGCAGGAGGATCACTGTAAGTTCAAGGCCAGTCTGGTCTTCATAGCAAATTCCAGGCCAATCAAGGTTACATAGTGAGCCCCCCCATATATATTATTTGTTGGCATCGATTGTTGGAAGAAATATGAATAAATTATTGTGGGGGATTTATGTTTATTTTAATTTGGGTTAGGATTCTTCATAAAGATGTTAACAAAAATTTTAGCTTGTAGTATTCTGAAAGTAGATTGACAGGGTTTCCTTAAAAAAAAATCTATGGACTGTAAAGTAAAAAACTTGACAGTGTATGATGGGTAGATGTGTATTAATGTTTTGAAATACCTTGTAGTTAATTCATTTAGTTTTTGATTCAGGGCATGTAGTACATCAAATAGAGAAAATTTAAAGAGCATTTGGACTTTACGATTGCACAGAACTAAATTTGATATGGATTCCTTGATATGTAGCATGAGCAGTACAAATCTTAAGTTATTAAAATAACTATTCATGTATTTGTCTAATAATAACTACATGCTAGACCCTGAAGTGAGAGGTGGGGAGAAGATAGAATGTTTATCTGTAAAGAATTCAAAGTTACAGCTAGGAGTGGTGGTTCAAGTCTTTGATCCCATTACTCAAAAGATAGGGGCAGGTGGATATCTGCTTGGGTTATATATAAGACTGTCTCAAGAAAAGAGTATAAGCCATGGACTAAATACGTGAGCCAAGTTGACCTATTGTTCATACTTTGCTCACCAGTGGTTTAAGCATCATCTATGTGTTTACTGTAATTGCTCTTGAGTAATAATTGCTAGGCATCCAGGTGAATGGTCTCTTAGTTTGGGTTAAATATGTCAGTTTGTGTTCTGTCCCTATTTTCTCATTGAAATTTACTTTTTATAGACGTAAATATCTATGAATAGTGAAAAATAGGAAACAGTTAATTTTCTGCTTTTCTTCACTTAAGGGCTAATTCTCAGATTTCTCATTTTCCCTTAAGCCAAATTCTGTAACTGTGAACTTTAGTTTTATCTTGTAAATAAATTGCATGTCAGTGATTGCATTTGCATTCTGTGAGCACTGTTGAATGCTTTATATGCTCAAAAGGAAAGCTGATTTTTACATTGACAGTAATAATTTTGTGTTATAATTTAAAATTTTGTTAACTTATTTTCCTTAGACACCAGAGAAGAAACAATCTGAATCATCCAGGGGAAGAAAGAGAAAAGCAGAAAGTCAGAATGAAAGTAGTCAGGGTAAGCCAATGCCATATTCCTTCAGAGATCATTCACATTTGCATTACTCCGATTTTTAACTAAGTAGTACTGTAACTGTTGAATAAGTGACTTTGTGGTTTGCAAATTTTATATCTGTTTTGTATTCTCTGCATTTATAATAACTAAGGACTGTACTTTGCATAGAAATAAGATTGAACCTGCAGGCCTTTGGTACTGTAGGTAGTTATTAGCTCATGGTTACTGGGGGTGGGAGGGGAGCATTGACATTTCCATGTCATTTAATTGGGCCTAGAATTTGGTAAGCATTTTTTTATCTCCTTTTATTTTCCCCTTTTCTTGTGAATTACAGTATTAAAATAGCTTCTTGTTTTTAAATACAAGCTTGAAATCTCACTTTAAAACAAGCAACCTATTCTCTTCTTTACTAAGGGAATAATTACAGGAATGGTTAAACTACCTGCTTTTTGTTACGTCCGTTTCATCCTTTCTTCTATATCTGCCTTTTAGGATATAAACTTAAAGTTATTTTCATTAGCCTATACATGGTCTCTTTAAAAATTGTCTCTCTGTGTGAGTGTAGTGTATATGCATGGGTGTTTGCAAGTGAGTGAGCTTATGCATTTGTATAAGAGAGTGTTGAGAGTCAGGATTCCGCTATCACTTTCTGCCTAGTTTTTTGAGGTAGGGTCTCTCCTCCAACCTAGGGCTCATTTTTTCTTGCTTGGGCTGGAAGCCAGCAAGCCCCAGTAATGCTCCTGTCCTCACCCTGCTTGGAGTGGGAGTTACAGGTGTATGTAAGATGCCTGCCTTGTTATGTGGGTACTGGAATCCATCAGCTCTGGGGCCTACACAATAATCCACATGGCCACACAGTAAGCATATTTAACCAATGAACTACAACTCCAGCCCAGACAACTTAATTTCTTCTAACAGATAGCAAACTGGTACTACTATTTAATTTGGGCCCTGAAAAGTTATACAGTATAATATATAATGATGATTTTATAGAGTTACATGTCTTGGAGCCAGCTTTTATCCATAAGATCTGGGCTTATGAATTGCCTTATCACTTATATATAGCACTAGAATCAAAGGGTGTATTTGCAGTAGTTTTCTGGGAAATAGAAGGGCTTCGTCTATGGCCTTTTTAAGATGTATGGTATATTCAATCTCATTCTGTAATTGTTCCCTTTTTTCTTTGGAGTAGGCCCTTTAACCTGTAGGTAGTGGATATGTAACTTAATTATAAAGGTACATTAACTCATTTCAGTAACAGACTCACATGATCTTAAAACTAAACCCCCAAATAGGGTGGGTCTTCCAAATTGGTTTAGCTAACTTATTTTAAGGGCCAATGTGATGGGTCGGTGGTTAAAGGCACCTGCCACCAAGCTTGACAACTTGATTTCAAAACTCGGTACTTACATGGGAGAACAAGAGAACCAACTCTTACAAGTTGACCTCTAACCTCCACATGTATACTGTGTCTGCCACCCCACTCCTCACCCCTAGCAATCACAGACACTAAATAAATATAACAAAACAAGAACCTGGGCCTTTTATCTGTCTAGTCTGCAGTCCACAGAAATGAAAGTCTTCTGGATCTAATTGGATCTCCTCATCTCTTCCTCACTGAACACTGGCTTTAGAATGATACTGGCTTACTGTGTTTCCCACCTCAACTTTTCTTGATGTGAGCTTCAAGCCCGGAAGCAAACCTCCCTTGCTTGTTACCTCATGACTATTTTAAGTCATGTTTCCATTCCATAACCAGTAATATATAGAAAGAAATCCTATTGCGTCTAGGAAATCAGGCCCATCTCTGAAGCTGGAAGTGGGGTAACTTTTCTCCTTAACCATAATGGACTTTAGGAGAATGGTTCCTGATTAAAATTAGACTTAAATGAGGAAAAGAAGGAATGAGAGTGGCCTGTATAGGAGCAGGCTCCTCTTGAAATTCAATGCCAGATATATGGGAAAGGGCATAACAAAAATTTGGGTTCAAATAGAGGAAAAGAATTGGGGAAATAGCTTCTAGTTAGGCAATTCAAAACATCCCTCCCTCACTAATGGGTAGTACCTCTTTAGAGTCTTCAGGGGTGTTATCAGACAGGAAGTACATCCCATGGGGTAAACTCTGAAATCTAGTCTGACTGGTAAATACGTTGTATGAAACTGTTGATCAAAATTTCTGAATAGTAGTTGTTGTGGAAAGTCCTTATTTAATTAAAAAAAATAATCTCAATTTTGTTTAAGGGTGTTGGACTTTAAGTATGGAGTTTGTTCACAATGCTGGGCACTCAAGATATATTTGTTAGGATGGTAAGATAGATCAGTGGGTTATGACATTTGCCTTCAAACATGACCAAGTTTTATTCCTAGAACCCATATGGTAGAAGGAGAGAACTGATTCCCACAAGTTGTCCTCTAAGCTATCAAGTAGCAAATGTGCAGGTGGGCACACATGCTGTGCATAAACACACATTAAATAAATAATAAAAAGCCAAAACATTCAAGGAAACTAAATGAACACATAATAGTAAGTTGGAATTGAATCTGTGTATACTTATATAATGCAAAGCTTTTGACTGATATTCTAGATTTTCTATTTGCTATTTTAAGAAATCATGTATTCTCCACAATTAAAATTCAAGAATGAATGCCTCCTAAAAAAATGTTTAAAACTAATGAAGACTGCATTTTAGGGCAGAGCATGTAAGGAGCAGTGTGACCTGTGACAACCCTGCTTATCAATATGGTCAGAAGAACAGTTGTTAAAATGTAGACTTTTAAATGTATGCCCTGTTAAGTTTCAGCAAATACATTTTAGAAAATGTAGTGAGACCCTAACTCAAAAAAGAAAACTGAAGAAAAGGAAAATCAGAACATTTTACAAAGTAACACTGATAATAAGTATGTTGTTGTCTGCCAACATAATAGATTTGGGTTTGTATCAACCAAAGCTGTGTTATTATTAATTATTATTATCATCATCATCATCGTTGTCATGGTCATCATCATCAAAGTTTGTGTTAGTATGTCATATATAAAGTTGCCACATGCCTTTTCAGTTTGTTAATTTTCTTTTCTGAGATTAATAGGTATTAAGTAACATTAACAAGGTTTTAAAAATCTGGTTCCCTTTGCTGAGGGTGTGGCCATGTGGCTCAGTGGTAGCTTACGCTTAGCGTATCTGAAACCTTGAGTTTAATCACCCAGCCAGGGAAAGGAGAAAAGGCGGGAAGTGGTTGGTGAAAAGGAAACAGGAGATCCTTAATGTTAGTTATCTATTTTTCAGTAATTGAAACTTCCATAAATTGGCATGTATCTATTAATGTGATTTGTTTAATTTTATGTTTAAAGATTATTGTTGTTTTTAATACTCATCATTACCTTACTAAAATGTCACACACCTTTAAATTAAATAAATGTTTTATTTTAATTTGTCACTTTTCTCTTTTTAATGTAATAAATGGTAGATAATCATGATTGGCTTTTAAATCTATGCTTTTTTTTTTTTTTTTGCTTTTTTTTTATTTTTTTATTTTTTTTTAGGAAAAAGTATTGGGGGACGTGGCCACAAGATTAGCGACTATTTTGAAGTAAGTTTGTTGAGGATTACTTCCAGTTCCTATTCAGTATAGTTCTTCTGCAAGATGAAATTCATTTCTTTGAAGCACAAAGTCAACTATTGAAAAGAATATTAGTATTGTGTAGTATTCCTTTCCTAGGAGCAGTAAACTTTCAGAGTACTTCACATTCTTGCTCAAGAGACACATATTATAGGTAATGTTAGCTGTTCATATTCTGTTTGCAGGCAGGGGAACTAAATACAGGAATAAAGTAGTTCCCTGTCTGGCAGACTGCATTGGAGTAACAGAGTAGACCTGCAATCTTACCATTTCTTCTAATCCAACACTGAGCTCTATGAAGATTAAATAATTGGTAGAGATGTGACTCTGAAGGAGCCCTGAGAAAAACAGCTAAGCCTTTAGTCTTAATCTAGGCTGTTGTCTTGCTTCTACACACTTTTGGTTTCCATTTTCTATTTGAAAATACTGATTTGCTTGTTAAAACAACAAATGTTACTTCTTTAGTAGAAAAAGATGTCTTCACTTTAGTGTGAGAGCAGAATTGGCTAGTTAGGATAATAGCTAAGTTCAGACAGCATAAAAAAATCTTGAAATAAAAAAAAAAAAATTTTTAAATTTTTTTTTTTTTTTTTTTTTTTTTTTTGTTAGGGGAGAGGATGCTTTTTGGGGGGTTACAGAATCCAGTGTAAAACTGTTTCTAACCCCAAATTATCCACTGCCCTTCCTTTAATTGACTTGAGCCACTCATGGTTAATATCATGAAGAAAGAACTTGTGCTAGTCCCTGAAATGTCTGCTGTGTACTGAATGATTAGCTAAGCACTACATTGTCTGGTCCTTGCAGCCTAGTCTCAGATCAACATATTACCTGTCCATCAGGGTTCTTTGGGGCATTAGGCACCTGTGAAAATAGACTTTCACTTGGCAGGGACCAGTAGTCAATGGAACAGAAATTTACAAAAATTGTACAACTTGCAGACTCTTTCTCTCTCATATTGGTGATTTTTAGGGCAGTTTTTAGTTTTACTTTGTAAGTCACACATGCAAGAGCTGTAATTTTCCCTGGAAGTTCTGCTCTTTCTGGAATATTTTCTCCTAAATTTCAGTAATGCCTTTCAAATCTCTTATCTGAAATTACTAAGTACAACTTCTAATCCTGGAAACTTTTTTTGACTTAATAGAGACAATTAGGTACATATGAGGAAACAACACTAGGGACATTAACCATGTCTCACAGTTCTGGAAAGGAGAATAGGGCATGCATACACAGATGGAAAAGCCTCAGAAATACATACAGTGCCAGCTGTTGAGAGTAAGCTCCCTGGACACCAGTCATATAAAATCAATAATAAGATGTAGTATATTCTGATGGGAATAATGCAGTGTAAAATATGGGATGGAGAGATCGATCTTTACCATACATAGGAGCTTATGTTGGTGGGAGAAGTGTGGTATAGTGAGTGAGATAGGGAAAGAGTGCCTTATCAAAGTCTGCCTTTTTACAGAGAGATTGAGAAGGTGGGCACTCTTGTAGAAAAGGATACTGTATAAAAGCATGCAGTGCAGACATGAAATAATTGTCTAGGTTTGAACATTTTTGTCTTTAAAGCATTATGCCCATGTCTACTACTTTTAACTTTGTAACCACAAGTAGCTGCCAGCTGACATAAGTGCTGCAAGAGCAGGATGTGTCTGGCTTGATATTTAGTTAAGCCTGCAAAAATGCTGAACTCTGTGTCTAGAATAAGGTTATGTAGGGGGTGGGAAAGTGTATTTGGGGAAGCATAAAAGAGAACAATGGCTGCTTTTAAATTGATTACAATGTATTTCTTAAAAGACAAAACATAGGAGCCAATAATGAAGCTGTTCATGTAACCCTGATAGAAAAAAATCTGTTAAGTATAAATAAAGACAGATTGAGTTATTAGGGGCCACTTGAGTGCAGCCCATCTGGTGGTCAGAGTTTTTGCTTGCACTGATGTCCGTTCCCTGTCTAAGGACCTGAACCTGAGTGGAGGCTGGACCCCAGCACTAGATAAAGTGAATGAAGAAAAATTCTTGGGTTGTAGGAAGTTGTTTAGTAAACACACTTCCATTCATATCAAACTAGAAATAAGTAAAAGATGGCTGGGTGGTAGTGGCACATGCCTTTACTCCCAGTACTTGGGAGGCAGAGGCAGGAACATCTCTGTGAGTTCGAGGCCAGCCTGGTCTACAGAGTGAATTCCAAAACAAGCCAAGACTGTTTCACAGAGAAACCCTATCTCAAAAAAACAAAAATCATAACAACAATAATAAACGAAGTAGACAATAAACTACTAAGAGGATCCAAGCATGAGTGAAATTCTTCTGGTCTTGGTACAGAAGCATGTGAGCTTGTAGGAAAGCACTATAGAGCAGATTCTTGACCTCTGTGCAACAAAGGCACTCCATAAGAAAGATGGGACTTGTGAAGATTTTCTTGTTGTTAGAAGGAATGGACTTGTCATTTTATATACTGCAGTGAATATTTGGATGTCTTAACAGATCTTGTGAACAATGATTCTGAGACAGTTGTGTTCACTAAAATCATATGTAAATATTTTATGATTTCTTGGGATTAGAGACTTAACTAGTTTCTTTAAAGAAAAATGTGTAGAAAAACTGCTAAGCTTTGGAGAAGACAAACAAATATGTTCATTTTGAGGGTGATTTGTCTTTTGAATGGGCCACTATAACAAATTATAGTCAGAAGGTAAAGTTGTAGGCATAGTTGTATAATGTTAGGCTTTATATAGCTGACCTTGCACTTGCTTTTTCTGAATCCATTTAAATGACTGATTTTTTTGAAGCAAAGTATAATTAGGTCTGGGGATGCAGACCATCTGTATGAGGCCCCGGGTTCACTCTCCTGCACCACAAATAAATTAAGGTGTATTTGAATTAATTCCTTAGTGAGATGTCTAAAATAGTAACTATGGTTTTCCATTTCTTTTTCTCAGTACCAGGGTGGAAATGGCTCAAGTCCAGTAAGAGGCATACCTCCTGCAATCCGTTCTCCGCAAAACTCACACTCACATTCCACTCCTTCCTCATCTGTAAGTTTTTACTATTCAAGATAGTTTAGTTGTCTTTGTTTTACAGGGTATATATATTAAATAACTTATAATGTGCTGTTTCTGTTGTTAACTTTTAATATATTAAATAACTTATAATGTGCTGTTTTTGTTGTCAACTTTTATATAGTCACATTTATGTTTTAGAAGGTAAATCACTTCAGTGACATGAGTTGAATTCTCTTTAATGATCTGATTCTTCTTGAACTTTTTTTTTGGTTTTTGGAGACAGGGTTTCTCTGAGTAGCTTTGGAGCCTATCCTGGCACTCTCTCTGGAGACCAGGCTGTCCTCGAACTCACAGAGATCCCCCTGCCTCTGCCTCCAGAGTGCTGGGATTAAAGGCATGCGCCACCAACGCCCGGCTGAACTTTTTATTTTTGAAAGTGAGTTTCTTAGCTAGGCATTGTGTTGCATGCCTATAATCCCAGCACTTAAAAGAATTGGAAGCAGGAGGATTAGGAATTCAAGATTGGGGCTGGAGAGATGGCTCAGTGGTTAAGAGCACTCTGGCTGCTCTTCCTCAAGACCCAGGTTCCAGTCCTAACACTCACATGATGGCTTACAAACATATATATACTCTATTTAATATTTTTGTTTTAGAATGATTTGGTCATACTTTGTTTATAAAGCATTAAGGTTTTATGGATTTTGAGTGTAAGTCCCTTTTGATCAAGGAAAATATATATATATATATTCCCAGTTCACACTGGGTCTTATTCAGGAGGTACCCAAGAATGCTTGTTGGATAAATAAATGATGATTAAAAGTTTTTGAATGGTATGACAAGATAAAAAACTTCTTTAGAAATGTTAGTAATTATTGCTTAATAGAAACATTTTCTTTAAACCTAAGGTAGAAATTTTACCAAATTTTTCAGGTTCGACCGAATAGCCCTTCTCCTACTGCATTAGCTTTTGGGGACCACCCTGTTATACAACCAAAGCAGTTATCCTTTAAGATCACTCAGGTAAGTAATAGCTTTAAAATTTTGCTGTGACTTTTAGGAAACTTCTGACCATGTTTAACAATTAAAATGTTTATAGTTTGTTCTGGATTTAATTGTAAAGTAAAATTAAACATAAGAGCTAACTTACTAAACTAAAATGCTTTCAGGGCAGAAGGAACGGAAGCATCCCTCTTAGAACCAGCTTGCCCTTTGTTATGCACTCAGGAAGTATAAAATATTTCAGGCAGTAAAATAGCCAGAACAGTCACCACATGTCAGTCTTGCTTACTGAATATTGTTGAACTTAATATCCATGTATACATATATAGTGGATATCTTCATGATGCTGCTGTGTTGATTTTAAGTGAATGATAAAAGTTCATTTCAATGTCTGTATGTTTATACCACTTAGAAAAATCACTTACATGAAAATACTTGGATTACATTAATGTCATTATTATTAACATTTGGTTTTATGAAATTTGAACACAGATCACATATTTTAGAGGGGTTATTTGTTTTTGCTTTGCTTTTTGGTGCTGAGGATTGAATTTGGGGCTCTGTGCAAGTAAAAAGCAGATGCTCTACCATTACATTGTACACCTAGCGCATTCTGTCTGTCTGTCTGTCTGTCTGTCTGTCTGTCTGTCTATTTGTTTATTTATTTTTCATGTGTATCAGTTTCTGGATAATACATTTTCAGACTTAAATTTGAAGAGTCAGTTGAGTACCTTGGCTCCACAACAGTATATTTCCATTAGACTTCCTGGGTTATAAGCCAACTGTTTTGCATGTAACAAAACTTTATTTGAGCTGTGAGTAGTATTTCATGCTGTTAATCCCAGCACTGTCAAGGCAGAGGGAGACAGATCTCTATGAGTTCAAGGCCAGCCTTATCAAAACATATCTACCATATAAATACGGGCAGTTTTTACTGGTCAGTTATAAACAGTTTAAAAACTGACTTCACAAAAGATCCTCTAGATCTTTATATAGTGCAGGTGTATAGTGCAAAGCATTTGTATATGAGCTTTAATCAATTGTACACAAGGTTCTCAGAATTTATACTTTAGAAGTTGTTCAAACTTAAAACTACACCAAGGTGTCTGTTTACATACCACAGACTGTTTGTTCTGCTGTTTGAAGTTGGGAAAATCTGCCTTCACATTTATGTGTAATAGTGTATATGATAGAGATAATAAAGTAGCTTTCTTTCATTCAGACTGATCTTACAATGCTGAAATTGGCAGCATTGGAAAGTAATAAAAATCAGGACCTGGAAAAGAAGGAAGGTCGGATAGATGATTTGCTCAGGGTAAGTAATGTGTCACGGAGGGGAAATTATGTGACTTATTTTGGCAACAGTTAAACTATTGAGAAAATACTAAATATGACAGGGTGTTCTATATTTTAAAACAGTAAGCTTTTTCTAGTACTGTAAGCATATGATTGAATCCACTTTCGGGGGTAGAGAGATGGCTCAGCTGTTAGCTTCTGTAAGCACCTACACACCTGTATACAGAGACACAATCTCATAATTAAAGTTAAAAAATGTTGAAAATCCCACTTTTGCTGGGTAGTAGCACATGCCTTTAATCCCAGCACTTGGGAGGCAGAGGTGGGTGAATCTTTTGTGAGTTCAAGGCCACAACTATAGTTACACAGAGAAACCCTGACACCAGTGTACGTGGGGGTAGGTTTATAAATTTTATTATTTGATCATCCACCTACCAGTCAGAGACCTATTTACTGTTAAATAGTTTATTGTTCTCTGCCTGACATCTGATACCACAGAGGATGGAAATGTTACCATAGTCCTCTGAGATTTTTAATGGAAACCTTATTTTTAAAAATAAATCCAGAGACTGGTGAAATAGCTCAGTGGATAAGAGCACTTGCTGCTCTTGCACAGAGTCCTGGGTTGGGTTCCCAGAACCCACTTGGTGGCTCACAGCCCTCTGTAACTTCAGTTCCAGGGGATTTGAAGTGCTCTTTTGGCTTCCTCATGTGGTGCACAGAAATGCATGCAGGCAAGACACTCATATACACATAAAATAAAGCTAACAATTATGTAAGTAAATAAATCTAAGCTGTTTGGCAAGTGGCTTAGCAGATGAGGGTGCTTGCTGTGCAAGCCTGGAGACCTAAGTTGGGTCCCCAGAACCTACATAAAGGTCGAAGGAGAGAACTGACTGTGAATTGTACACAAACACCTTGACATGCTCATTCATACCCCCAGACACACATTTAAAAATGCACCCAAAAGTATACTTAAAATCTGAATGAGGCATAAAGCAGATTTTTTTTTTTTTCCCTTGCCACTCATTAGGATCACCAGATGGAAGTACTAATTTTGGATTCTACCTTGTGGAGTTCTGATAAAATTGATGTGATATAACTTGGATGTTGATAGTTTTAAATGATTTAAATCAGCACTGAGAACCAGTGCTATCAAAATTTAATAAAATCAGTATCTGTGATGCCATTGTACCTTTGGAACATTGCTCTAACATATCCCTTACTGCTAATCACTCTTTTGGCATCAATGATACATGTGTTTATCCTTCCTTTGTATTTTTTTATAGTTGTGTTATGTATGTGTATACACATGTGTGTGTCCCCATCCTTTGAGACTGGTTCTCTCATTTGCCTGAAGCTCACCAATTAGCCTAGACTAGTTGGCCCCAGGAATCCTCCTGTCTCTACTCCCCAGTACTGAGATTACAAATCTATACTGTGGATTCTGGGGGGTCAAACTCAGTTCCTTGGACTTGCAAGCACTTTACAGAGTGAGCCATCTTTGCAGCCACTGTGTATATATTCTTTTTTTTTTTTTTTTTAAACTTTATTATTTGTTAAAATTATCCTATAGGGATCCTTTGCTCTGCTTGTTTTTATGAACATTATATGTATTCTTTCATACTTACATTGATAAGTGTAACTAGAAACATTACTTTTCATTGCTATGACAAAATACCTGAGCAGATCAACTTTAAAGGAAAATTTATTTTGGTTCACAGTTTTCACAACATTTAGTCTGTGGTCTGTTGGCTTTGTTTTTTCTGGGCCCATAGTAAGACAAGAGCATCCTGGTGGGAGGACATAGGGCAAAGCAGGATGTGCCTGTAATAGAACACCACTGTTTACTTCATGGTAGCCAGGAAGCAGAAAAATGTCAGATAAAATCCATATATTTCAAATTCAGCCTTCCTCCCAGGGATGTCCTTCCTCTACCAGGACCACCCACTATTAAAGTCAATCTATCGGTTAATCCTCTGTTGAAGTAAAAGCTCTCTAGATCCAGTCACCTCTCAAGGCCCCATCAGCTGTCTGTCAGCTATTCCTTATTTAACACATGAGCCTTTGGAGGGATGGTTTATAGATTCAAACCCTAACACCGTGGTTTGTTTCTGTTTCTACACTAAGACCCTAAGGAGTGTACCATAATTTACATGATTCTCCCAATTTTGGCTCTTGTTTTGTTTCTGATTTTTCTAATACAAAGAATTCTGCTAAGAAATTCTCAATACATGTCTCCTAGGGTAAATGTAAGATTTTCCTGTGTTGTAAGCATAGGAAGTAAGGCAATAGAAGAGAGCATAAAGCATGTTCATCTTGTACATTATAATACCTAAATTTCCCCCTAAGTTATTCTGTTAATATAACAGAACTGTTGCTCATTGTCCGTGCCAAGTCTTAGTGTTATAAGATTGAAAACACTGTTCATCCTGATAATGCTGATGAATAGGTATAACATGGTGTCTTGTGCTTTTGTTATACATCCCTGTTTACTGATTGGTGTTCAGCACCTTTTTAAAAACATCTTTAAAAATACTTATTAGTTATCTGTCTTGTTTTCTGTGAAGTAAGTAGAGACACATGGTCTCATCATGGCTTAGCTGAGGCTGGCCTTGAATTTCTGATCTCTTTTGCTTCTACATCCAAAATGCTAGCATTAGAGATGAATGCCATCGTGTGTGTGTGTGTGTGTGTGTGTGTGTGTGTGTGTTGTTGGTGATCAAATCCAGGACCTTTCTTAGTTTTCAGGGTTTTTTTTTTGTTGTTGTTTTTGTTTTTTGTATGCTGGCTTCTTCCACTTTGTGAGATGTGTTTTCATTACATCGTGCTGTCTTTTTTCCATCATGCTGTCTTTTGATGATTATATGTTTTTACATTACTAAATATCTTAGGTTTATAGCTTTTACTTTGCATATACTAAATTATTATCAAAGATACTAAAAGAAGTAATTGTAAGAGCCTAAAGATGTTCTTTAATGAAAAATAAGGCCATGAATTCAAAAGTGAGCAAGGAAGGCGGAGGAAGGAAAGGGAAGAGAGAAATGTAATTATATTCTCAAAAAAATTGATGTTTCAGTACAATTTGTTGATCTCGCTAGAATTGGTTTGTGGTATAGTGTGAAATAGGGTTTCATTTTAATTTTTTCCTATATTGATAACCAGACTTTCCAGTTGAATTAATAATTCATTCTTACACTATAGGCTCCACCATTAAATATTTCTATATGCAATGCCCCTCCTTCTGTCCTTGTCCCTTTTGTTTTTTTTTTTGTTTTGTGTAGTACTAAATCAATCCTAAGACACTATATTAGTGTTTAGTAGTTGTCTTTGTTGGTAACACAATATACACAGCAGTACTTAACATGAGATAGAAATGTACTTTTGGAAAAAACAAAAGTATTAGCCACCTAGATATAACAGCCTCATAGTTTCATGAGACCTTGGCTCCTTTAGCAGTTTGCTTCTTGTCCTCAGTGCATGATTTACATCTTGAAGGTCACCTTTGGGTCTAAAATAAAAATAGTCAGTCACAGTACCTGTGTTCTGAACAGACACCAGAGAGTAGAAGAGAAAAACAAAAAGCACAATTCTATATGCAGCCTTCTTGAATATTCTAGTTTACTTAAATTTCTTCGTAAGAGAAGTTGGGAATTGTATTCTTTTAGCTAGGTACATATCTGCCCAGAATAAAACATTTTATTTCCATTATTAGGTAGAAGGAGATTAGAGTGATTGCAATTACTATGGCTTTATAGTAAATCTTGAAAAATACTACACATGGCTTTTGCCCATAACCCAGTCTCTGGGGGCAGGAGGAGGGCAGCAGGATCTTAAAACTAGTCTGAGTTATAGTTATAGTGAAAGACTGACTCAGACAGCCACACAACTGTATATATACAGTAAACCCTAGATGTGCCATTGGACATTTTCTTCATTTTGGCTATCTGCAGCCTTAATGAAATTTTGAGGTAATTCAAGTCAAACACTCCTACTGACTCAAACCATGCCGAGGCTTTGTTTGAACTGTTTTAACAGTGAAGATCTGTTTGTGCTAGATCTGTTTATGCTAGGTCTCATTTTGCTGTCTTTGAAAAATAGTTTTATTGAGCTTTAGGTTGGCAATTTTTTTCTCCCAACATTTAAAAGTATTATACTTTAGTCTCTTGGTTTTTGTGTGATTGGCCTAGGCCTATGGATCTTAGTACCCAGAAGTAGGAGCAGCAGCATTGCTGGAGAAAGTGAAATTCCCAGGCTCTTCTCCAGACCTTTTGATTTAGAAAATTTGGGGGTGGGGTATCTGAGCAGGCCACAGTAGTAATTCTCTTCCTGTAATGGCAGGGTAGCCAGACTCTGTGAGTTAGAGAGAGGCCTCCTCTGTGAGCATATAGCTGCCTATTCAAGGAGTTCTGGAAGTAGGTAATTGACTCAACAAATTACGGTATTGTCCCTGTTCAGTAGAGAAAGTGGTATGAGAGGTCAGGAAGTGTGAGAAGAAATTCACATTCCTCTTGAATATGTTACACACATGATATACCACATTTTATTTTTTAGCTGAGGTAGATTATACTACTTCCACTTAGAAATAAAGGAACTGGGTGGGCGGTGGAGGCACATGCCTTTAGTGCCAGCACTCAGGAGGCAGAGGCAGGTAGATTTTTTTGAGTTTTGAGGCCAGCCTGGTCTACATAGTGAGTTCCAGGAGAGCCAGGACTACACAAAGAAACCCTGTCATGAAAAAACAAAAAAAGAAAGAAAGAAATAAGGGAACTGAACTCAGATTCAATTTATGTAGCCAAAATTACATACCTTGGTATATATATGTGTATGTCTAGAATGTGTACATAAATTTTCTGTACTTTCTCCTATAAGGTTAAATTAATGTTTACTATTAAATAGACTTTTGGCATTTTTCTTATCTATATAATTTATTCAAACCACTAAAATGATTACTAAGATTTTCATGTACACTGATTATATACCTTTCATTCTCTACCATGTTGTAGGCCAACTGTGATCTCAGGCGGCAAATAGATGATCAACAAAAATTACTTGAAAAATACAAAGAACGATTAAATAAGTGCATATCAATGAGCAAGAAACTTCTTATTGAAAAGGTGAGTTAGTACTAAATTTTCCTTTCCCTTAGTATTTTGCTTTGCCTTGCATGCTTTTAAAATTTGAATGGTATAATTGATTTTTCCCCCCTCATTTCAGAGTACTCAAGAAAAATTGTCAAGCAGAGAGAAGAGTATGCAAGACCGGTTACGCCTTGGGCACTTTACAACAGTTAGACATGGCGCTTCTTTTACTGAACAGTGGACAGATGGTTTTGCATTTCAAAATCTTGTGAAGTTAGTAATGGTTACATTTTTAAAATTTTATTTTTAATTATGTGTATGTGTGTGTGAGAGAGTGCAGAGGCATCAGAGCTGAAGTAACAGGCGACTTTGAGCCACCAGATGTGAGTGCTGGAAATTGAACTCTTGTCCTTTGGAAGATTAATGTATGTAATTAAGCCCTGAGCCACCTCTCCAGCCCCATTGCTGCATTTTTAAAAATTAGTGATTTGGATTCTCATTACTTTAAAGAATTATAAATTTGGAATTATGTTCAGCATCTCCTTACTATTTGAATTTATAAAACTCAGCAAGCTACAGTATTTAACCAGAAGTCTTACATAAGTAGCTTTCATCTAAAGAGTACAATGTGTATTTTCCTTTAAAAACAACAATAACAACAAAAAACAAGCTCTCAATAGGTTTATTTAGCTTTTGTTGGAGACAGCTGTGCTGGCTATTAGCTTATCACAATAAAAGACAGAATCTCTGTAAACCTAATGAGTTTGGGGTTTAATTCTTTGGTTAGTTAAATGTTAACATGTAGTATATGTGATCATAATTAAGATACTGAATAGCTTGATGATAATACAAAAATAATATTGTGAGGAAGATAAAATTTTGATAGTTAAGATGGACAGATATTATTTATACTTGAGCTAAAATACTGAATGTAAAAATAGAGAGCAGGAAATGGATTTGAGATGAAAACCATAGCCTTTAATATTTTGTGAGCAAAAATCTCTACTTCTAAACTCAGCACTGACTGTCCTACATTAATGTTCATAATCTAAAGTATTAGGGGCTGGAGAAATGGTTCAGTGGGAGAGCACTGGATCCTCTTCCAGAGGACCCAGGTTCAATTCCCAGTACTTACATGGCAGTTCACAGTCATCTGTAATTTCAGTAATTTTCTTTTGGCCTTTGCAGGCCTCTGATGCATGTGGTATACAGACAAATATGTGAGCAAAACACCCATACACATAAAGGAGAAATAATTTAAGAAATAAAATATTATTAATTATGCCAGTAGTTACATGCTCTTATAAAAATCAAAATCATTAGCATAGCCTATATTTGTTAAGCAATGATTGAAGACTTACTCTGTGTTGTTAACAGTGTGTTCACATTCATTGTTTATAATCCAACGTGATTAGAAAATGAGAATTGAATAAATGAAAAGTTAGACATGTTAATGAATAATCTCTGAACCAGTTGTGATCCACTATATATCTGTCCCATTAAGGTTTTACTTGCCACTAGGCAATTTATGTGTACTTAGAGCTTCTTCTGTAATATAGTTACAATGTATTTTTTGATTGTTTTTGTTTGGGGTTCTGTTGGTCTGACTGAAATTCTCACAGGTAGTGGACTGGAACTCTACCACGGTGCTGCATCCCTGCTCCTCAAATTTACTCTTGATTACTTAAGAGCATGTTAGATTATTCCTAAATCCAAATGGAAACAGAGCTAACTTACCATTCTTTGAGAATTTCACTCATGTCTTAGCTCTGCTCCCTCACTCAGGCCACAGAAAAGAAATGTGTGTGCAAACGAATCCTTCAGCCACACAGAGCTCTGGAGTCCCTGTTTGGGGGAGGGAAGGGAAACATTTGGCTTGCTCTAAATCTCAATAGCATGACCATGTAGAGCTATAACATTTTCTTTCTTGAATGATAGAAGACCTAAAAGGAACATGGTTACTATCAAAATAAACTTAATGTGTTGTAGCGAGGTTACCATATGTTCCTCTGTTGGCTGTTTAGATGGCTCATCAGGTAAAGACACTTGCACCAAACCTGATGACCTGAATTCTATCCCTGGGACCCACACAGTGGAAGTAGAATAGACTCCTAAAAGTTATTTTCTGACCTTCAGACATGTGTTCCCCCAACTTTTTGATGCAAGTTTTGCTCTGTAACTTTTTTTTTTGAAGATTTTTATTTATTTATTATGTATACAGTGTTCATTCTGATAAAGTATCTATAGGAATGGTATTTGCTGGTAAGGACAAGGTACCATGAAACTATTTGTGGCCACACACTTGTCTAGAGGTTTAGGGGACATCTTATTTAAAAACTGTGTGAAGTGAGACCTGTAGGTTGTTTTGCTTCACTAGAGTAGGCTGCAAGGGGCTAATGAGATGTCTGTGTTGTGAAGAGTCCTTGGCTGATCTTCAGAGCACCTAAGGGCTAGAGTTTGGTTCCTAGCATGCAGGTGATGGCTCACAACCTTTTGTAACTCTAGTTCCAGAGGAGCTGTTACCCTCATCTGACCTCTACAGGCACACTTGTGATGCATGTGCATACATGTGTACATACAGCAACACTCAGTTGGTTGTGTTGATGTACACCTTTAACCCTAGCACTCGGGCGGCAGAGGCAGGTCAGCCAAGGCCACACGGTGACGACCTGTCTAAAAATCAATGAACAAACCACTTATACACATAAAATAACTAAGCAAATATTTAAAGATTTTAAAAAAGAGTGGGACCAAAAGAATACAGGTTTAAATTATGTGTATGATGTATTTTTTCATTTTTTAATTTGAAATTAATGGGAGATTAATATGGCTTTGTTCATCTTTACACAGACAACAAGAATGGGTGAATCAACAAAGGGAAGATATTGAACGGCAAAGGAAACTTCTAGCTAAACGCAAACCTCCCACAGCTAATAATTCTCAGGCACCTGCTACCAATTCTGAACCAAAACAAAGAAAAAACAAGGCAGTCAATGGAGCAGAAAATGATCCCTTTGTTAGGCCAAATTTACCACAACTGTAAGCCTCTGTTTTAAATTTCTTTCTAAATAACGTTAGCAGTGAGCAGTTATTCATAATTAATACTATAAAAACAAAAATAGTTACAGCCAGAAAAAAAAATGTTAATTGAAAAACTTTATCTGTCATAAAGCTCAAAGTTTGAATTTTTAAGTAGAGAGTGGGGTCTGCTCTTCTTGTGTATCTGAATCAGTTGGCTATACCAATCTAATGTTGAAATTAATGTGCCTTTTAAGTACATTGCAATTATTTTCCAGACCTATGAACCTAGCTCACAGGTAGTTACAGATAGTTGTTTCTTTCTGTTTTGTTTTCTAAATTTTCTGTGTCAGTTACTTTTTGCAATTCAAAGTGCTTTAAAAAGTTACATTTTTATAGAAAATTTAGGGAGTTGTACAAAAATGTATGTGGGTGAAGATGTAGATACCCTTTGTCTTGTGTAGATACATTCACGTCATTGTATTACAAACATGGAAATTCTATTCCGTCTTTCCACACATGTAATGGCCGTGTCTTGTGTTTTCTGTACAAGTTGTATCCCATTTTCTTACATGCTATTCATTCATTAATCTTCAGCTTCTCTTTTTCTCACATTGCTCCATTTTTGTCCTTTGCTTTCATCTTTATCTCCTGATGTTGCCAGGCTAGTCTTGAGTTTCAGGGTTCAAGCTGTCCTGCCTCAGGTTTCCAAACATCTGATACTATATGTACAGACCACCCAAGCTGAGCTTCTTCAAAATCCATCTCAGAATCCTTTCTTCAAGTTATTTCTGATTTTCTGCTACAATTAGTCCAGTGACTTGTTATTTTAAAAAATAGTAATGAACCATATATTCAGCAACAGAGTAGCTATCTTAAAGTTTGGGTTTTTAACTGTGCTGTATAGACACACCTGGTCCTTTTACTCTGCTCTATAGATACCTAGTCCTTTAACTCTGTAGCAATATTTTATAGTTCTTCACATAAAAGTCTTTAACCTACTGGTTTAAATTTATTCCTAGAGCTTTTCATTGGCTCCTGTTGAATGCTCTTGAAATGGGAATTGTTTGTTAATCATCTATGGCTGTTTGTTTCTAGTATGTAGAAACAATAGTTTCTATGTGTTGTCTCACACCTTAGAGCATTGCAGAATTTATTACTGGATTTTTATCCTTTTGCTTTTCTTTGGATTTTTTTTTCAAGCATGTAGAATTGTGTCATCTGTGAAGATACTCTTAGTTCTTCCTGTACAGTTAGGATAAATTTTGTTTCTTTGTCCTGGTCTTATTTAGTTGTATAGTTCTGAGTAATTGTAATGAAAGTGGGCGCCCTGTCCTGTCCCTGATCTAGGGAACAATGTTTCTTTCTGTTCCTGCTTGATTTTCAGAGACAGCCTAGTCTCATTTCCTCATTTCCATGCTGTCATCTTAAAAAATTTTTGTTTTTTTTTTTTTTTTTTTTTTTTTTAAATCAGTGCATGGTTCCTGATGAAATATTCAGTAAACGTTTACTGGATTGTAATAATCGGAGGAGCTATGCTGTGCTCTCAACACTATAGCTTTTGTTGTATAGCTTTGAGGCTTCAGGTTGGTTTTCCTGCTTACACAATGTCTTTAAAACATTGGATGATAAGTTTCTTTTAAAAATAAATATATGCTAGTTTTTGTTATATCTGTTGCCTAATTCTAACAATGTTAAACTATCGTTAAGTGTTTTTTAATCCCAGCACTTGGGAGGCAGAGGCAAGTGGGTCTCTGAATCTGAGGCCAGCCTGGCTTGTCAGAGCTGTACAGTGAGACCTGGACCAAAACAAAGTAAAGATTCTCACTCACTCACTATGCAAAGTTGTCAAGAGTTAGTCTTACCAGGTTTAAGTTGTTCACTCTCATAATTGAACATAAAGCTCCTAAGTAGATAAGCTGGTGTTATAGGTAATTGGAGCTATCTACCTTTTATCTATTATTAATACTTTAATAACGGGTACAATTTATATGGGAAGAAATGAGCTATGTGTTTTCATTTATGTATGCATATGAGTTTTGTTAATAACATGACAAATTGACTTGCGTAAGAAGGTAATTTCTTTTTTTTATCATGTTAAAGTACGTAGTAAAAATACCTAGTGATTTATGGCGGTTGATGTTAGTTAACATTGTCTGCTTAGCTCTGTTATTCTGAATGAGATCCTGATTAGCCAGTCTCTTTGATCTAAATACATATATTTCTTTCTCTTTTGAAGATATAGGGGTGTGTGTGTGTGTGTCTGTGTGTCTGTGTGTGCGCACCACATGTATGTAGGTGCTGGCAGAGGTTAGAATATCAGACAACCCCAATGCTGGAGCTACAGGCAGTGAGCTGCCTGCCATGATGTTGGGAACTGAAGTCAGGTCCTCTGGAACAGTAAATGCTCCCAAACACTGAGCTGTCTCTCCAGCGCCATAGATTTCTTTTTTGTTTTTTTTTGAGACAAGGTTTCTCTGTACCTTTGGAGCCTGTCCTGGAACTAGCGCTGTAGTCCAGGCTGGCTTCGAACTCACAGAGATCTGCCTGCCTCTGCCTCCCAGGTGCTGGCATTAAAGGCATATGCCACCACTGCCCAGCTACACCATAGATTTCTTTAAAAACATTTTTCATTAATGCAAATGGACAGCAGAAAATCTAAAAAGCTACTGTATGTTAAGCTCTTCTTTTTGCAATGTTGGGGCTAATGTTATAGTTATAAGACATGTCCCTGAGGTAGGAACCCTGAAATTGGCATCTGTGAATCCCCCAAACTCTTTATACGAAAAATCTTCTGGAGATACTTTTTACAACTTTTGTCATTTTAAACAGCTGTAATCATAAGATATTAAGAAAGTTAGAAGCCTGCAAACTTAAGACAATAATATACATCCCTTCAGATTGAAGAAACTCCAGCAATCTGTATGTAGGAGCTTTGAAATTTTTTATGTTAGGATCTTGCCTCGAAAACCAAGCTTTTAACTTTGACTTCCAGAAACCAAATTTTAGCTATATTTTATAATTCAGGTTTAAGAAAAAAAAAATCAGTGTATAACTATATATAACCAGCTTTAAAATTTTTATATAGTTTGACAAAATTCTGAGCCATTTTTTGATAAAGCCAAACTTTTTAAGACTAGAAAATGATGTTAGTAGGTAAACTTGTTTGTACTTGTGGCACATTTGCATACCCAGGAATTATTTGCTGTTATTTTTCTCACTTTGTTTACTTGTAACCTCGTTTTTCCTCCTCCTTTCCTCACTCCATCCGCATACACCTTGCAACAACAGTTCACATCTACTATTTTGTTTTGTGTCAGGGTCTAGCTTTTAGTCCAAGCTGCTCTGGAACTCTTGGTCTTCTTGCTGAGGCTAAGGCCCTCACAAGCACTGCAATTGTGAAGGTTTTGCAGTTATAGGACTGTGCTCACACCTCTTGCTTAGTAGTTAATTACTCCAGCCAGAAATGTTAAATGTATGCTGAAGAGTATTTTAAAGGGGTTTTTAGGACTTCCATGATTTAGGCTTCAAATTGTCAGTATTTTATTGTGATTTTTCTTTTTCATTATGTTTTATTTTTAATTTTTAAAAAGTACTAAGCATTACTCTCAATGTAGAATTAAAATCTCACTTTTGGCAGGCTCACTCTGGCAGAATATCATGAACAAGAGGAAATTTTCAAACTTAGACTAGGACATCTCAAAAAGGTACGTGCAGCCTGTGCTGGGTCTCTAGCTTGTTGTCAAGAGTTTGAAGAACTGTGTTCATTTCTTTGACTTAATTTATTCACTATTTACTGTTTAAATGTTTTTATCAAAATACATAAACAGGACATTTTTTATAACCTAAAGGATCTAGTGTTAAGTGATACAATTGAAAATGGCTTGCTGTGTTGTTGTTGTTGTTACTGTATCATTTTGTACTTATTATAAGTTGTAGTCATTCATTTCTTAGTTTTTATAAGTCTGAGTTTGATGAAACTCATTTCCAAATACTAGTAGAGATTGTTTTTCTATCAAAATGAAGTTATGAACAGACCAAAAATTTTCTTCTTGCCATTGTTTTATTCTGTTTTTTGCTTATCAGTTATTTAATTTTTTTCAGTTATTTAATTTAAAAAAATAGAATGATGTATAGGTATAATAAAGTAAATGAAGAAAATGTCTTTGAAGTCATCTCTGATGAGCAGGGTGGGATAGGACCAAGGACCCATGTGGTTAGATGCAGCTGCTCTAGTGAACTACATATTAAGCCTTGTTTGAGATGTTTCCCAAATGCTACTTGGTTAGAGCTTGCAGAAAACTCTAGTGGCCATCACCGTGCCACATTGGCCTGTGCCGCTGCTCAGAAAGCATCAGCCTAAATTACATGAGCAGTGGATCCCAAAATAATTTATTTGGCCCTCTTCTGTTTCCCCAACAGCCTTCTGTTCTATTGTGATTGGTCATTTTTCCCACGCCTTTGAGATGTATAAGTAACAGCAGCTATTAATGAATTGTGAGGTAGGAGGGATCTTTAGTACAGATGAGTCATAAGTGTTTGTGTGTCCACCTAAGCTGTTTTGTTTAAAGGAGATGTTTGATGCCCCATATAAAAGTTCACCAAGGGCAAGTAAAATGACTCAGCAGGTAAAGATGCTACGTGACAACCCAGGATCTACATGATAGAAGAAGCAAAATGATTATGGCCACTGTCCTTTGACCTCCACACTTGTGCTATGGCATGGTGTATAACATGCATGAATATACAAATAAAAAATAAAGTTCTACAATCATTTTAGTGCTTTAGTTTGAACACAGAAAAATCTAGCATGTGTTTTCTGGCTAGTCCTTGATAGTAGAGGGATACTGTGTGTTTGACTGCTTGTACTGTGGCCAAGGAAATCCTTGATTGCATTGCTACTGAGGCTTCGTGTTAATTACTACACTGTTGCTGAGTGAATTCTTAGTTACTGTGCTACTGAAGGTGTATGTAGAGCTTTGTCTGGGGGTCACTATAAGTTTAAATTACTCTTTCTAACAATGACATTCTTATATCTACTTTATTTTGTTAGATAAAATTAAAATTTTATAGCAGTTAAAGTCAGCATTCATCTATGTAGCTTTTAAAAATGCAGCTTTGAAAGCATTAAAAGAAGGGCTTATTATTTTGTTGGTTGATGGTTGAATTTCAGGTACTTTGACAATATTTAGTCTTTATGAAAAATGCTTTGCTTTTTTTTTTTTTTAAAGTAACATCTACCTCATTACTAGATAGCATTTGCACCACACTGTTTTAGAATCCCCCACCTTTTGACCTACACCCACCTGGCCTTTTCTCCACTGTTTGATACACTATGTTTTTCATATTTACTGTTCTCCAATAACTGTCCTCTATAATCATTTTCTCTGTATTTTCCCAGTTTATATATCAAATTTGCTATGAGTCTTAGGTTTCTAACTCTTCTACTTGACTAGTTTAGTTCCCAACTTTTTTTTTCTTCCATTCTCCACCATGAAATATTCTGGGGGAAAGGTGTCAATTTACAGTGCTGAGAGTCTTATGTACTTATGGTTCTCTTCTCAGAGACAGTTTTGGGTGAGAAGATTGAATGTGTTTGTACAGGCAGTTGTTGGCAGTCCATAGAGATGATAAGACTGAGCAAGTAATGTCACCCTTGAGAGTGACTAAATAGGAGCTGCTGCTCACAACTGGGTATTTATGTTTTAGTTGATCAATTAGAAAGTAATAAGCAGGAACTTAATTTGTATTAACAATAGGTTTCTAAAGCACAGCTAGAAAGTAGGCCAGAGAGAGAGAGAGAGAGAGAGAGAGAGAGAGAGAGAGAGAGAGAGAGAGAGAGAGAGAGAGACTGACTGACTCTCAATACACAAAAGACAGGCTTGATTCAAGAGAAAATTCTGTCTTACCTGTTCATAAGCTCCTGGGTTGGGTAGCTGGCAGAGCATGCCTCATCTGTGAGGCCATAGTTTCTTCCATAGGCTGGGTCTGTTCTGATCTTGCTTGATGTTTATGGAGCCTGCTGAGTATACATAGCAGGTCAGATAAGGGCATGGATGTGAAGCCGGATATGTTAGAGTAGTAAAGATCTCTCTCCGCTCTTTCTTTCCTTCCTCCTTCAGTCCCTCTCTCTCTTCCTGTCTCTCCCTGAATTCTTAACATAAAGTAGTATTATTATATTAGGTTTGTTAGCCCTAAATTGCAAGCATATTCTTTGTTAAGAAACCCGGCACCATGAGAATTTAGAATAGAAGATCCATTTGCTGCTTAAAATGGATAATTTGTGATGTGATGTAGTTCATGATCTATTCATATGCATTTAATATTCTAATAATAATTGAAGAGATAAACAATATAGAGAAGCTTATTTACTGTTAAATGAATCATAATGCTCTATTTATATCTATGTTACTCTGTAGTTTTAGAAAATAAAGTTTTAAAGTGTGATAAAATCAAGCAGGAACCTTCAAAAGTATGTGGCATAAAGTAAATGAATTGAATTTGCCTCCAAAAATGTAATTGTAACCTTTACTTAAGTACTTAGTATTAGGCTTGTCTTGTAGGCTTAGGAAGGTCACTGTAGTATTTCTTGGTATATCAAGAATTCTTAAGCTATGCATGGTGGCACGTTTCTGTATTCCCAGAATATAGGTGACTGAAGTGGGGGACTCACCAAGCAGTGAGAGCCATGTGTCATCGTCCCCTGTCCTCCCTACCCCCCCCCACAAAACAAAACAAAACAAAACAAAAAAAACAAAATACAGAACACATTCCTGCTCTATAGAGTGAGGCCTGTATTCAACCTCAGCTCTATGTACAAGAGAGTTATTTAAGCTGGGTAGTGGTGGTGGTCCATGCCTTTAGTCCCACACTCAGGAGGCAGAGGCAGGCAGATCTCTATGAGTTCGAGGCCAGCCTGGTCTACAGAGTTAGTTCTGGGACAGCCAGAACTGTTACAGAGAGAAACCCTGTCTCGAAAAAAAAAAAAAATATTTAATATTTATAAAGAAAAGAATTGAGTTGTTTTAGAGTTTATGTGGTCATTGCTCACCCATTCATAAGTGGTTTATTTCTTTAGCCTATCTGCAAAGGCACGATTCTCAGTCCCATGTCAACAGAATTAAACAATATGACCCTTTTTCCTTTTTCTTCTTTTAAGACAAATCTAAGTAATTCTTTCATTTAGGCAGTGTGCCTCTATATAGCCCTGGCTATCCTGAACTCACTGTGTAGATTAGACTGGCCTCAAACTCAGATCTACCCACCTCTGCCTCCCGAGTGCTGGGAGTTGCCCAGATTGTAGTAACTCTTTCAAGTGAACATTAGCTTTAGCTTTCTGAGTGCCATGGGCTTTACATGGAGTAACACAGTCAGTGGACAGCAAGTCCGTTAGGTTTTCTCTGCCTCCTTTTCAATGGCTATTCCCATAAGTTTATAATGTGAACAGTTTGTGGATATAGTTGCTCTTTCTATAGTTTCTGTTGTTGGGTGTTTTGAAACAGAGTCTCACTGTATGCCCTAACTAGCCTGGAACTCATGGAGATTTGCCTGCCTCTGTCTCCCAGGTGCTGGGACTAAAGATGTGCACTAGCACACTCACTGTTCTCTTCTCTTCAGATTTATATTTTAAATATGTGGTCATTTGAAGAGAATGTTAGAAAGTTTGATGCCTCAGTACTAAATAGTAAAGGAGGGATTGGGGAATGAGAGAGAGACAGAGACAGAGAGACAAAATTATAAGACCTGGTTTAAGCGCCAGAAGTTTTACTGGGGAGACATGACCAGCTTGTAAATGAAATAGGGCTGGGAAAGAACCATCGGCAGACACAAAAGTATCATCAGCCTGAAGCAGTCAGCTAAGTGTTGACAGTCAACTCAGTCTCTACTGAAACAGAATCACATCCAGCATGCCACCTGACACCATTTCTTTCTCTCTTTCTCCTCTGCTCCTTGCGATGTGGCACTCATCTCTCCTTGTGCTTCGTTCTGAAGAGATAACAGTGTAGCAACAACTCTGCCACTGGCATCCTGTTCTCTGACCGATACTGGCACCTGCAAAGAGAAACAAGCAGTGACAGGCAGCAGCAGCATCAGTACTAACCTCCATGGTGAACTCTTTACAGGCTGAGAACAAGCTCACAGCTCTTTTCTCACTCACTCCTCACAATGGAACTTGCAGCCAGTTGAAACGGACAAGACTGGATTGCCTACAAGCCTTTTGAACAGTGGAGAATGCAGGGTGTTGTTTTTAGGAGAATTGACTCCACATACTCCTGACCAATTTTGGTATCTCTTTTGGCCTTTTTAGAACACTTAATGTCATCCAAGTTATCAAATCCTTAGTATGACCACAAAAATAAGCTCCATATGTGACATTTCTTGTCATTTTAGTTTTGAATAAAGATAACAAGCAGTATAATATTGGGCTGTTCACTTCTGTATTTGTGGCCATAACCAAAAGAAGTCTTTGAAAATTCTCTCACTGAAGGCCGTCCACAGAAGCATTATGCTTCTGTGTACCATGGCGCAGGGTTCTATTCTTTCAGGAGTAGGAGTAGTTTTTAGGGGAGCATTGGTAGAAAATGTCAGGAGGCTTCTGGCTGTGTATGGGCAAGAAAGGTGCTAAGAATCACATTGGAATTCTTCAGTTGGCATTTTGTCCTTACTATTTTTTCCTACTTAAAAATAAGTAGATTTTGAAGGGTGA